CTGTGCAGCCAAAGACAGAACAGTTAGCATGTTTTGCTCAAACTTTCGCCATGGCATTATCACTGGTATACCGTTGTCGCTTGCGAAAACACAATGAAGGCGCCATGGGTATAAACTTACAGATTATTATAATGAGATCCCTTTGCCACGTCACCAAGGGAGCGAAATTGAACCACACATCTCTGAAGACGCAGAGAAAGATCCGTAACAACACAGATCTCTTCCCAGTGCGTCTGACCTGGCATGGTCGACGCTTCGTCCTGCAATTCTGCCCAGTACGCGGTCAGCATAGAGTGCCAGAGAGAGCAACTGCTTTATAAAGCAGTTCTGTCATGCTTGACTGGAAACGGTCCGCTTTGGATGGCAACGTCGGATTTGCAGCTGCCGTGTGCTTTGGGTGCAAGTGTGCGGCAACTAATGGCTCCATGGGGGATATTCGGAGAAGTCCTACCATCTACATTCCCTCCACATCAAGAGCGGATCCTCCCTGCACGGGCATCTTGCTGGTGAACGGTTTGTCCTTCCAGGTCGCCGCAATCTCCTCCAGGAGCTCTGGAAACACAGGAAGGTGCTGCCGTGCTACCCGTTTTGCTCTCAGGAGCCTCTTACCCTTATAGCGAGACTTTGCAGTCTCTGCTTCCACGGTCAGCCACGGAATGTTTAGTTTCTCAGAAGCGCGTTTGCACACATCTTGCAGATCAACAGTGAGAAGCACAGATGGTGCCCCGTCCGCATCTTCCGTGGATCCCGCCGCGGCGAGGGGTTGTGCAGGGGGGAGGAAAGAGGAGTCCTCGAAATCTTCCTCTTCTTCAGAGAGAAGAAAGTCCGATTGTCCCTCTTCCTCGAAATCAAGCGCGTCCTCTTCCTTGTCCGTGCTGAGCACACTGGGCAGAGGGACGCAAATGTCAAGCTGTTCACCCCAGGATAAAGCTGCCGTGGTGGGCAGCTCTACAGGGATGGGTACCTGCAGAGTGACAGCTGGAACGGGGCTAGGTGACATGAGGGGATCATGGCCTGACAGGCTAGCTTGGCATACTAGCCTGCGACGAAGGCTCTTCATAGTGAAGTGCGTGCAGTGTTCACAGGAACCGGGGTTCTCGATCACCAATTGGGCATGTTTCAGCCCAAGACATGCAGAGCAGACCTGGTGTGTGTCCTTGCATGAAATTTTGTTCCCCCATGAACAAAGTCGCACGCCATCTCCCTCACTAGCCGGGACAGTCTGCATTGCTGCAGCCATCGTAATATCGAACAATCCTTGCAATCAGCTGGAATGCAAATTGAAGGAGTCAGGCTTTTTGAATGTCTTTGTGACGTTGTGTCGCTCCCTTTATACGGAGGGGTGGGGAGGCCACGTCCAGACACAACGTCACATCTGCCAGCCAATTGGGGCTGGCATAATGTAATAGGGCTTCTGAGGAATACGCGGAAGGGGCGTATCCCATAGTGAGACACCGAAATATATGCTTGAAAGAGAACGTTAACCTTTTCTGTCAGTTTTCACAAAATGGCGCGCGTTCCAAACCTGCAGAGCGGACCGGCCCAGCAGACCCGAGACACAGACTACTAGCCCACTACATATTCCTGACATTTGATTCTTTGTCCCAGTGTCGTTTTCAGTCCGACGCGGTTGGCGAAGCCTTTCCAAAACGGTCACTGTTACAAGCGCGTGACCGCATTATTCCGGCGGGAAGTGAAAATGAAAACATTTGAAAGATTAAAAAGCAACTGACAAAATGGCGACAGCCTGGTCTGTTGCTATGGCAACTGTCAATCAAGCAGCCGAGTTCCCGGATGTTCAAATGACGATTCGGAGGGGGAAACAGTAAAGGTTGCTGCACGCCTTGTGTCAATCAAGTAAAACTTATAGAAACAATCATTTTGCAAACCGCTGAACTACTTTAAACAACACTGGGCTGGTTTTTATTTAGCAAATTATTGACAGCTCATGCAAGTTTGTTGACAATCAACTGTATTATGCAAAATGCTATGCTTACACAATAATAGTGTATAAATGTTTATTTTAGGTAAAACATGCTGCATGTGCTAAGTAAAAATGTGTAACAAATGATACAATGTTTAGGATAGGTAATGTTTTAAAACATCAGAGGACATTGCAAGTTTATGATATGTTGTGTTTTGTCAGTCTTATCTGGCTGTATGATGTTGTAAGTTTTTTTAAACTTTATGTAGGCCTACAATCTGACTTAGCAGTGTTTCTCAGGTCATGTGATTTCTTGTGTGCTTATTTACCACTTGTCAGGCCTATCATTTTTTACAGCCATTTGATTGTCTGGGGAAAAATGCATGTATTGTGATGTAAGGTAATGTTGATTTTGTTTTATTAAACCTGCATAACTCAGTTGCATATATGAATCTTTAGTTAGCCATTACAGCACCATGGACAGCCACAGCTGCACTGAGGAATAAAAACAGTTGGAGGAGACTTAAGTGGTAACCATTGGAATACATTTATACCATTCTTGAATTTATATAAAGAAACAGTATAATTTACAGTGAACTAAATCCCTAGCATCCAGCTGTCCTTGACAACTTGTTTTCTGTGAGCCATCAAATCATGTTTATGACAATGTCAAAGTGCCTTAACTTTTCAGATGAGTTTGGATTATCTCCCATGCTTTTTATAGGATCATTATTATGGGATGTGTCTGTTCCTGAGCGCATGGAACAGTTCTTTTAAAGTTCCCAACAATTTCTACTACTTCTTCAACCAAGTAGCTCTTTCCTTTTTATTGTCTATTTTTTCTTCTATTTTTAAAGAAAAATTATGAATTTTGTAACACCGCACAATAAAAAGTAGCATGGTGTTTAATAATATATTTATCACAATTATTAATACTTTCACTACTTGTAATGTTTTCAAAGACATCTACATTTTTTGGATGAATACGGTCATGAATGGTTAGACATTAAAAACCTTCACAGAATTTAATATTTTCTATTGGCCAATTTTAAAAGTAATTAAATATCCATCAATGATAATTTTGTTGTCATTTTACTTGTAAAATAAATGTACCATGTCTTAGATCGGGTTTGCTACAGTTAATTTTGTAAAGTTACATGCGTTGATTAATGTTGATGTGATGTGACAACTGAGCAGTCATAACATAATGCCATAAAAACTGCAATTGTGAAATTACAGGACAAACATTGATCATAATCAAAATATACAGTAAAGACATTTATAATGTTACAAAACATTTTTTTCAAAGAAATGCTCTTTTTAACGTTCTATTCATCAAAGAATCCTGAAAAAGGTATCTCACAGTTTCCACAAAAATATGAAGCAGCAAAAACTGTTTTCAACATCAATAATAAGAAGAAATATTTCTTAAGCAACAAATCAGATTAGAATGAATTTTGAAAGATACATGTGACACTGAAGACTGGAGTAATGGCTGTTGAAAATTCAGCTTTACATCACAGGAAAAAATTACATTCTAAAATCCCCCAAACAGCCCCAAATGAAACAGCAATGCACGTAAATACAGGAATCCAGATGCTTACAGCTGTGGTTGGTTTTATAATTAAACACATTTGTCCAGGGTTAGCCAAAAGATTTCAGTCATGTAAAGTGAAAGCATGAGTTCAGAGTCAGAGAACAGACCAGCATCCCGACAAACAGAACAGAAGAAGAGAAGGAAAGGTGACCTCAAATAAAGATACAAGAGTTTTTATGTTGTATTGCTATATTGTCATGTTATATTATCCAAGCTTAGAAGTTAATGCCAACCAAATCATTTAGACAAAACTTAATTATTATTATTTTTTAAGTTTTATTAAATCTTAAAATGTTACATTTTAAGGCCAAAACATAAAAGCTACTGTATTATTATAGTTAGTATAGTAACAATTTACAAAAATGTTTCATTTAACATTAGTTAACATAACAACGATAACTAACAAACTAACAAAAATAAAGCATTTATTAATCATAATGTTAATTTTAACATTTACTAACACATTACTAAAATTAAAAAGTATGTTTTTTTATTTGACATTTTATTATTAACTATCATCAACAAATATCAGTAAATACTGTAACATAAATTAGTCACTGTTGGTTAATTTTAGTTCATGCATTAACTAACAGGACCTCATTGAAAAGTCTTACCATTATTATTTTTGATGCAAAGTAAATGTAAAACAAATAAACATGATCTTTGTGGGATGTGACTTGAATAGACATCTTTTCAGATGCCAACTACATTTGCAATAACAAATATTTTGTTCTTTAACAGTTTTGTCAATGATTTTAAACTCCTAAACAACTTAACAGAAGAATCTTGTGATGCATGAGGGTTCAGAAGTCCGAGAAGAGAGTGGAAAGAAGTTACACTTACGTGCTGACACATTAATGCTCTTAATGTCAGAGCCCAAGACATTGGAGGCTGTGCAGGACACAGTGAGATTGCCCTTTGGATCGATAATGATGCTGTATGTGACTTTGCCATGCTCATAAGCACTCTCAGCCTGCAATTACAGCATGTAACATCCATTAAATGACACCAGACTTAAACATTACCGCTGTATTCATGGCTATTATGATGTGGCATATTTAAAACACTGATTTACCAAGTACAAGCTTTTTTGTAAAGGATTATAACCACCACTAGAGAGCGATATTGCTCTGTGCACAAGGAAAATCTCTTTTAGGGAAGCATGTGCTTAGACAAGACAGCAGACTGCACACAGGCAATGAGGTAATGCACTTTTGACAGCTGATGATTTGCACTGACAGCTCAATTTGTACCAATAAAAACCACATGATACAGGAAGTATGTAAAAGCCTCATCATTTTTAATAGCTTCCTCTGTCCACACCCACTCAGGCACACTAGTGGTCTGGTGTGTTTGAATAGTGACCTCATCCTAGTGCTTAAAGATATGGGTAATATAGCGGTTTTGTTTAACAACCTACATGTATGTTGTCACTGTGAGAACATCTTTATCAGCTCAAATGTGCTGCTGGCTCATTCGACATAAAAGAGTTTTACTCTTTCAGGTTCTTTCACTATTGAAAGCAGCAATAAACCCTGGAAGGTGAATTCAAAAAGAGCTCAGATGCTCAGAAAAGTCATAACAAAAGCTTTATGGAAGGCTCAGTATCAGGTTTTAATAAAAAATAAATAAAAATACTTAAAAAGCCAAAGAAAGTCCTTTTGTAGTTATAGGTAAAAGAGCAGAGAGGACTGTTACACAATACATTTGGGTAATACACAAAAATACTTAATTTTGCCTTGTCCCCCGGTGATATGCACTGAATAACATGAACACCTGGCAAATGGCCTGTTTTTTTTTTTCAGGCAATTTAAGACAACATCAATAATAAGAAGAAATATTTCTTAAGCAACAAATCAGATTAGAATGAATTTTGAAAGATACATGTGACACTGAAGACTGGAGTAATGGCTGTTGAAAATTCAGCTTTACATCACAGGAAAAAATTACATTCTAAAATATCTTAAAATAGAAAAGAGTTATTTTAAACAAACAATATTTCATAATATTCCTATTTTTACTGCATTTTTTGATTAAATAAATACAGACTTGGTGAGCACAAGCAACTTTTCAGAAACAGTGTAAAACTGCAGTATAAAAAAAAAACTATTTTCTAAAAATGTACACTTTATTGGAACTAAGAATACAAAACAATGGTCAGTATGTACAATACTTGCATGGCCACATTCAACCTCTTTGGTTTTGACAGTGGATTAAATGCAGGTAAAATGCACTGAAGTGTGAAAATGCAGAAACCACTATGAAAACTGAAAGCTTGAATTTAAAATCTGGAAGTAAATACCATTAATTGTACTGTCCATTCAACAGCAACAGAGGTATATATTCAGGAAAATTGACTAAAACTAGCTAATGTCAAAACACTGGCATTTAGCTAAACCTCAACAATATAAATAAAACAAAAACAATAAAAAGAAGTTTACCATATTTACAAGTAATGCTTAAACCAGATCACGTACAATTCTGCAGTGAAACAATGAAATATCAAAGAACACACAGAAACAGGTGATAATCTGAGAAAATAATGAATGTCAATATACATTACCGAGAGCTGATTTTTCATTTTTCTGAAAAAAAAGGCAACATAGGAACACAAGTGTGACAGTAAGAAACTAATTTAACATGGTTTTAAGTCTTTGAAATCTGTATGGTAATCCAAGCAAAGGGCATAGTTTTCATTAAACAAGCACTGGTCCCTGCAATATCTTACTTCAGAAATGTCAAATTATGTAATTTGTCCTCTTTAGACATTTTAATTAACTTCAAATTGTAGGTCACAGTACAATAACTATAAGGTCTAAATAGTGGTAAATAATGGTCTTCTAAATCCCAATAAGTACAATATTGGCATAGAATTTTGCTCACTGACTGACTTGAAAAACTAGCCAAGTGCTCCGTAGAAACGTGAATATCATGCTCCACATCATGCCACAGATTAGGTACTGTGTAATTCCAAAGGAAAAGTCCCGTACAGATACTAAAGAACTCAGTTTTTCTACCATATCAAACTGCAAATAAAATTTGTATTAACGAAATAGCTGGAACACAAAAATCAAACAAAACACAATAGGGCTTTTTCCAGACAGATCAAATATGAAACCCAGCAATATAAATGAACACTTTACAGACACAGGTTTCTGAACAGGCTTGTTCAGAATGCAAAAGATTCACATACTTTACAACATACATTATTAATTAAATCCCTAGCATAGGGGAGGCACAGACACATTACAAACGATAGTGGAGATGTAACTGACACAGCTACTCGGGTCCTCCATTACAGGTTCTGATTATTTTTCACAGATTTCAACAATTTTTTACTCCTCCTCGTGGAAAAATGGATTACATTCAAATGAATCCTAAGGAAAGACAAGATACATAACAAAACAGTTTAGTTGATTGATAAATATGTATAATAGAATGTATATGACCTGAATGTCGATAAAAATGTATATATATATATATATACTACTACTAAACATAATATTCACATTAATTCAGTTGGTTTCAGAAATCTTTTCTTGTCTCACCCTGAATGGCTCCTTTGACATTACACGTCAGCTTTTTGGCTTTGACTCTCCTCTAGTTTTTTGCTCTCTTCCGCTGAACCATCTTCCTTTTCTCCAGTTTTCCAGGATCCTTGCCTACATCCAGATTAAGTGTTACACAATATTCCACTTTGAACGAATCTAAATTACATAAATTCAGTGATGAATGGTAATGTCTTTACTGCTTAATGAGAAGTGGATATTATGTCAGTACCTGGACTTCTTCATATAAAGCCAGTAGGCCAGTCCTATCGCGAGAACTGCCAGCATCAGACCAACAACTATGCCAACAGCCAGTGTCGTCTGGTCACCGTACTCATCTTTCTGATCTGCACACAGAGATAAAACATTCAGAATAGGACATGGACAACTGGTGGTGGTGGTGGTGGGGGGGCATGGATGAGTTTATTTAAGTACTCATCCATGTCAACTGGATGAGTACTTAAACCATTTAATAACTAAAACGCAAACAAGACACTGATGGCCAATTACAATATTTGTCAGGATGCTGGGCATCTCAGCACCTTTGTTTTAGTTTTCTTAAATACAGACGTATTCTTCTATCCTGTGCACACAAAGCATTTATTAAATTGATGAGTAAAGGCACTGTCCTCTCTTCCTGTGTAATGCAAAGCCATACACAGATCAGACCTGATTGTATAACAGTTCAGTCAGTGTCTTACCTTGTTTGTCCATTGTCACGTCCTCAACAACTGTAATCAGATATAAAGTCATATTAAGTTCCATTTGTTTTGAATTCTCATGGAATGAAAAGCCCATTGCATACAGAACTGGAGAAATTGTATATATAAATGTGTAGATATATTCTAATAACAAAACGGATGAGAGGACTGTTACACAATACATTTGGGTAATACACAAAAATACTTAATTTTGCCTTGTCCCCCGGTGATATGCACTGAATAACATGAACACCTGGCAAATGGCCTGTTTTTTTTTTTCAGGCAATTTAAGAAATATTACAAGCTGTTTTTTTTTTTTTTTGTCCAAACAAAACATCCTTTCTTGGGAATATCATTTTTCATTGGTAAGAATTTCATAGGTTTTTCCTGTCCCCAATTTCACTTTATATCCTATTAGTCTTTTGTTAAAATCCTTTTAACTAATACAAGACAGCTCCCTAGTGACATAATCATCAACATCCTCGTCCTGCTCCAGAAAGTCATTATTGGGTATTAGCACTGGCATGGATTTGATGAATTCTGTGATATGCATTTTGTGGTGTATTAGGCGATTTGTCTAATTCTAAAACATTTCATTCTGTTTGATGACAGAAATCTGACAATAAAAATATATAAATCTCAATTTCAAAAATTGGTTAAAATGTAATCATTTGAAAACCAACTAAAAGAAACACCACTGTTCAAAAGTATGTGGTCAGTATGTTTTGTGTGTGTTTATTTAATTCAGCAAGGATGCATTGCATTGATCAACCGTGACAATAATGACATTTTTAATATTATAAAAGATTTCCATTTCAAATTGGTGCTGTTCTGTGAATCCTGAAAAAAAGTATCTGTTTCCACAAAAATATGAAGCAGCACAACTCTTTTCAGCATTGATGATAAATGTTTCTTGAGCAGTAAATCATCATATTAGAATTATTTCTGAAGGATCATGTGACACTGAAGACTGGAGTAATGACTGCTGAAAATTCAGCTTTGCATCACAGGAATAGATTAAATTTTTAAAATATATTAAAACAGAAAACAGTTATTATAAATTGTAATAATACTTCACAATATTACGGTTTTCACTGTATTTTTCATCAAATACATGCAGCCTTGGTGAGCATAAGAGAAATTAAAAAAGCACTAAAAATAACTTTTTAAAGGTAGAGTACTTCATAATGTGGCAGATAGTTCAAACTTACACTTGTGCCATTGACACTCCACTGTACTGTGGGTTTTGGAGAGCCTTCAGCCACACATTTCAGGACCTTGGTCATGCCCTCACCACGCTCCTTGATCAGGTTCTTAATGACTGGAGGACCTGCGAAAACACTCATGCCATCAGCTATCAAAAATGTTTGTCCAAAACCTTTTCCTAAAGCATTTCTCTGATTTATAATGGTCTGGTCTTTTTGAACTGTGGTCAACTGTTAAAGCAGTTAAAAATTAAGCTTTATTAAATTATATACGAAATGCACTGCAAACTTACCTTCAACTACTAATTCAAATGTTCGCGTTTCCTTGAGGCCAGCCATGGAAACAACACACTCGTACATGCCAGAGTCGGAGTATGTCAACTTGTCAAACTTGGGAAGGCTATTCAGCTTGGCATTGCCCTAAAAGAGAGTTTCAGCATTTCAATAACTAGAAATGAACAAAAGTATTCATTTTTAATAGGGACGAGCAATCATGAATGCCATGGTTTTCAAATGCCATATATTTTATAAAGAGACATTTATTTTCTACCTTCTTCCAAGAAGTTTGTGCCGCTCCTGAAGCTTTAACATCTACAGTCACCTCTAAGCTCTCACCGAGTTTCTTAACAATTTTACCAGTGGTGCTAAGGACCACATCAAGATCTTTGAGGAAAGAGAAAGAGAGATGTTAGTCGTGTAAGTTATGTCCAAAAAAAAAAGTCAAACATCAGACCGCGTCTGGAGTATTTCCTTACATTCAACTGTGATGGGTACAGAAGCCGCAATATCCTCGTTGTCCACTAGTGAACATTTGTAATCTCCAGTGTTCTCCCGGGTGACATTGGTCAAGGTGTATATGTTGGAGTCCACAGTCTTTTTCTCTCCCTATAGATAAAAAAAGGCCAATTTAGCAGTGGTTTAAGTAGAAAAGCAGCCTTCATTTTTCTGACCGAAGGCGAAGGAACGGAGAGCAAAGTGAGTTACAGAGCAGACTTACGTCGATGTAGAAGCTGTAGCTAGAGGGTGGAGGGTTTCCGTCTGCTGTGCATTTGAGGGTCACATTGTCCCCTTCCTTAAAAGGACCCTGGGACACAACTTGGAGATTGACCTTCTCAGTAGCATCTGTGGAGAGAGGGTATGTGTAAAGCAGGGAGGGCAGCACAGAGAAGCCCTGCCAGAGCCCATGCAGATAAGGGCACTTCAGAAAAGCTCCTTATGAGCCAGAAGAGGCCCTTCAGCTCAAGAGTTGAGGCTTTGAGAGTGCTTTCGTGGTGAGAACTGCTTTTGAGAGTTAGCAGTGGGGCTAGTACCTTCTCTATAACAGCCAGAGGCAAGACAAAACCCCATTCAACATCTAAATGCCCTGCTCCAGAAAGGCCAAATTACATATCTTATTTGGACGAAATTCAACGAGCCATTTGATTCTGATAAGGCCTCTTTTCTCATGGCTACTTCAGATGGGAAGAGAGTTATTCTGAATAATCCTGTGAATTATGCTCAACATTAGACCATTAACCACTTCAGTTTTGAATACATTTGCTCTGAGTGACTTTGTTTGGAACTGAATTATGGAGGAAATTGGAAGTGTTAGGATTAAAAACTTGCTAAAATGGCCCAAACAGGAATAATGTTATCTAATGTATTTCTATAAAGCAGTATAGGAAAGAAACTTACAGTTCACAGTGAAGACAAGAGGCGAGGAATCCATGTTAGCAGACCAGATGTGTTGAACCTGACAGGTGAACTTGGTATCAATGTCTCCCTTCACTGCTGTATACTCAAGGGTTGAAGTTGTCGTGGATAGTCTTGTCTCATCAACATCCACATTTGTGTTGATTTTAACGGCTGTAATCAACAGAAAAAGAAAACAATAAAGGGAAATAAAATATAGCATCAAAGAAGAAAGATCTCTTTGATCATTTGGAACTAACTCTCACGCTGTTCCAAACCCATATGACTTTTTCTAATTTGAACACAGATGGAGAACATCTGAACCACTTCTATGATATTAATATGGTGCTTTTTCATCTTTCAAACTTTCATTAAAGTTTTTTGCAATTGCATGGAAAAGAGCATAGAAAACGGTCTTGTCCTCCTTTTCTTTTGTCATACAGATTTGGAACGAACTGAGGGCGAGTAAATGATGGCAGATAATTGGATGAACTATAATTTCCACCACATTTCACTCTACCTGCTCCATCAGTCATAAGTGGAGTTTTATTCTTGAACCATGTGATGTTGGCAGCTGGACTGGCACCTTCAGTACGACACTGCGCTAACTGATAAGATAAAAATCAAAACGGTTGCGAAAAAGAAAATGGATTATTAATGCAAATGTTATGAGAGGAATTCCAAAGCACTGCATTTCATCATATTTTGTTGAGTTTTTAATGCATATTCATGCTGTATTCACTGCAAATAACATTTCATTCTGTTCTCCTGTTTGTGTGTATATGATAAATAAACCATAAATAAATTTCACACAACCTACCATAGTCGGTTTGCCGATTGCCATTGCAGTCGTTAGGTTTGTAATCTGAAGTCGCGATGGAACCTCTAAAAAAAAAAAAAAAACCCAGAGGAAACTTTGTTGAAGAAAGTAGTTCATAAACGCATCAAACTATGAAAATGTTCTAGGTTTTTGGTCAGTGCTATTGTGTACAACACTTACTGTAAATGGTCAGTTGAACAGGGTACTCTAAAATGTCTTCTTTCCACACCACCATGCAGGTGAAGGTTCTCTGATCGGCCATGGTCACTTGTGTGATGATGAGGCTGAAATCTTTTTTAATGCTGACTCTGTTCTTGTAATTGACATCAGTTGAAATAGTGGCATTCTGATCCAGTTGTTTCACCAGTATGTTGCCATCTTTGTCCTGTTGTGCAAAAAAAGCATGTTTAACAAAGACAATTACACCATTCATACGATGACATTTCCATTTAAGTGAAAGTGAAAGTGACGTGATATGTGGCCAAGTATGGTGATCCATACTTGGAATTAGTGCTCTGCATTTTAACCCATCCTAAGTGCACACACACAGCAGTGAACACACACACACTGTGAACGCACACCCGGAGCAGTGGGCAGCTGCGGCGCCCGGGGAGCAGTTGGGGGTTCGGTGCCTTGCTCAAGGGCACCTCAGACGTGGTATTGAAGGTGGGAGAGAGCGCTGTACATTCACTCCCCCCACCGACAATCCCTGCCGGTACGAGACTCGAACCTTTGGGTTACGAGTCCGACTCTCTAACCATTAGGCCATGACTTCCCCACGAAAGTGAGTCGGACTCGTAACCCAAGTGTAAACACTGTGGCTCTGTTGCGCTCTCAAAATGTTTCAGCCAATTTTTGGGGGTTCTAGCCATTTAGCTAGGAATTAAAGCTGTTTATCTGAACAATAGCAGAGGGAGAAGTGGCAGTAGTTTTGGGGAAACCTGTTTGGAAATAGTTGCGATTTTTTCAAATTCTGGTAAGATTTCACACTGTTGGTTTAAAATGGCCAAAAATAAATAAAAAGAGTGAACCTCAAACTTACATATTTCCATTTAACTAATGTGACATCTGATTCCTTGAATTGCCCTTTGTTGCATGGGATTTCAATGGGGTCTCCATACTTGCTGGTGAGAGTTTCCAAACCACTCACTAAAATGCACAATAAAAAACAATCACTGTAAATATAATGTGTTTGTGAAAACATCCTGTAAAGGTAACATGCGATACATAGCAGACAAAACCGAAAGTAAACATTTTTGAATACATGCGTGTACACATTCACATTCTCATCATATTGTTTAGGGCTGTGCGATATTGAAGAAAAATGCGATATGCGATACGATAATGTTTAAAGTGCCACATGCTCAGATGAAACAGTTTTACTCAGCTGTTGCTGAGTCAGTTGTGTGAACTTCTATAACTATCTTGTGTCAAATATATATATATATATATATATATATGGTTATTTGTATGCATGTATGTATCAAGAGCTCCTGTAAAACCACAACAAATTCCTTGTGTTTGCGCACGCTTAAGTGGTGAATAAAGCTCATTCCGATTCTGATTCTAATATAACTAGCATACATGTTTCACTTTTTGTGAGAAGAAAGCACCCCTACAACAACTTCTGAAAGTGAACGGTAGTGTTTTACTCTAGCATTACATAAAAATGTCATTTTAACATTAGTGTAATCATTTTAACATGAGTTTAGGAACTGAATAAGTCAAGTCAAGTCAAGTCACCTTTGTTATAGGTTTGTTTTTTGCAATTACATTTTTGATTGAAACTTAAGAGGGTGTTTGCAGTAGCTTTTTATTCTGACCCTCAATATTTTAATATTATTTGAATTATCACTTTTGCCTGGCTGACTTGATATTCAAATTCCAAGCACTCATGTTTGTTAAAGGACAAGAGTCTGTACTTTACTGATAAACAGTCACTAAGTACTAAAAGAAATTTAGTATTTGTGATACAGTTTAATGATACGGACAGGTAATGAAACAAACTCGAGTTCATACATTTTTTATCTAGATTTTTTAATAGGTGCTTTTAGGGAGAAAAAAGCTACCATTTTCTGTGCCAGTCTCATTTTTGATGCTACAGCTGCGAAATGAAACTGCATTTGATGGACAAATTATTTGTATGCTTTTTCAATCATGACTCATTACACGTGAATTTGACATGAGCTTCACCTGAAACTAAATATTCAAATTTCAAAAAAGGCTCTCAATCCAATTTCTAGACAAACACCAAATCCAGTTAAACTGGTTGTTGTGTCACAGCTGCACTTTTGAGAAAGGGACGTCAACAGTTGGGATGGATAACCATCAATAGAAAGCCTGATAATTGTAGTATGAGATAAGATTGAGACACAAAACTGAATCCTTTCGACAAAATTCCACCGAAACGTATCAAGAAACTTAATGCTTGACTGAACTAACTTATTTCAGATTTTAAAACATAGAAATCTCTGGCTGTTGTGACATGTTTAATGGGAAAAAAATTATATACTATAAGCTGCGAAAGAATTAGCTAGCATTGCTACCAATGACGATTATAGAGCTATTTCTAGCATTTTGTATAAGTAAACAATAATTCTCCAAATAGTGACATAGTATATAATTTTACTATTCATTAGATATTATAGTATTTAATTGTATTTTGAATTAGCTGTTATATTGTTTTTATTTTTATTTTTAGTAATGTTATGTGCTTGTCAATTTTTATTAGGTTCTCTTATATTACTACTTAGCTTTAAATTTTATTTCAGTTTTAGTTTAGTAATTTCATTACTTATTTTATATCAGCTTTATTTCAATTAACGAAAATTATTTTTAATCATTTTAGTTGTCAATAACATCACTGCCAAGAACACAAATTTAATTTTTAAACCCAAAATTAATCTGTAGCTACTTGTGTTTATTTATAATCTTCCATCTCAGGTCCAGAAAAACAGAACGCATACTAAAAAACACTTCTCAGTGTACAGGTTCATTAAGGGTCAGATGAGCCCACTGGGAGAGAACAGAATGTGCTCAAAGCCAAAGCTCACTGCAGTCAGTGGAGCATGGTCCTGTTAATTGCCCTTTACCTGTAAGGACTCATAAAATTAAATTTAGTTCCTGGCCATGTTTACAAAAAGGAGGACATGCATATGCTAAAAATTGATATACTGCTAATCCTCTTTGCATCACCTGGATGGTCATTTTGGAAGTTAACATATATGCTACTAATATGGATCATTATTACAAGTATTCTTTGGAATACTTCCTTCATGGCCACTAAAATGTCACCATTGTATCTGGTAACTATGTATCACTCTTTTCTCCTCACAAAATAAATTTCAACTCAAAACAACATTTTGTGTCCATTTTTATGTCCGTTTATTTGGCGAGTAGCCATATATTAAGTGAGAACATCAAAAATAAACCCCTTCAGAATGAAACAAGAGCTTATTGAGCCATAATTTTGTCACCAACTGGCTGTATATTATCCCTTAAATGTAACAGAATATTTCTGGACCCAACTGGATGATCTACCCCATAAGATTTCTGTCTAACAGCTGTCTGTTTTTCGCATGATTTATAACATGCTGTCTTGCTGGTGACACTGGAGCATTAGTAGTAGTAGTAGCAGCAAGAAAGCAAACAGACGCCAGCTGACATACTAAAAGAGAAAAGGATCGAGTGTCAGCGTGCCCTCAGAGCTTCCAAACCAGCACCAGGTGAAGTAAACGAATGACACTGCCCTCCCAAACCCCTCATGCCCCTGCTCTTTGTTTCATGAACAGGTGCTGCTGAAGAAGCTTCTTCATGCACCGGTTGTTAAAACTCTCTACTGGAAACACTCTTGATGGAAAACATCCCACAGCCAGCGGCATGGTACCAGACCATTTGTTGAAAGCATATGGACTACAGGGCTTTCAAGTGTTTTTACACTCTGAGTGCAACGCTCTTAAGTAAAACAGTGCTGACGGTCTTGTTGAGCTGAGAACACACTGAAAATTGAAAATTTAAAATCTAAATTTAAACCTGTAAAAGTTTTCGGATTTTGTCCAAAATCTAACAAAAAAAATTTAAAATGTAAATCTGAATTATGTAGACGAAATACTTTCAAGGCACTCACGTGGTAAGATAAAAAGCCTTGTTGTAATGATTTAAGCACAGTTCATTAAAGGCTTTTTATCTTACTACGTGAGTGCCTTGGAAGCATTTCATCTACATAATTTGATTTTTACCTCCATCACATCCAATAAGCACCAGTGGCTATATAAAGACACCCGTGTAGCACTCTCTGCTTTTGGTTCTTGTAAGAATGTAAATCTGAACATTTTCAGGAGATTTTTAGGGGAAAAAATAAAAAACAAATTTATTAAATTAAAAAAAGAATAATAAATATAGCTGCAAGCAGCAATTACGGGCCAAGCACTACAGAAGCAAGCATCAGACCAACTGTAGAAATGAATAATTGAAGCAATTTTAGGATAATTTTAGTCAAAATGGCTGAAAAATCATAAATACAAGTTACAACCACTAGTAATATGATTTATTGGCTTATCACATTTGACCAATAGGTGGCGCTGTTATCAAATCGATGTGGTGTGTTCTGTGTGAGTTGACAATGGCACACACAAAGTTTGGTGTCAATATGCCAAAGCATTGCAGAGATACAGCCTCAAGTGTCATTTTGGCATCATGCCTCAAATTCGTTGTTGTGGTATGCGAAAACGGTTTTGTCTATCAACACAATTTATAACTTTTTGTCAGCATGGTCTGAAGATGATACGATTCGATTTTGGTGAAAATTGGACCAACAGTCTAGAAGTTCGAAAAAGTAGGTTTTTAAAGAAAATATAAATGGCGGACAGGAAGTTTGGCTGACTCAGGCAACATTGGCATCACTGTTCTCAGCATGACCCAAGGAGTCTATTAATACCAGTCTTACTACAATAGGCAAAATTCACAGAAAGCTATTAGCATTTATTTGAAAATTATAACTTTTGACCACAAGGTGGCACTGTCAAAACATTTTGAGTACTTTCAGGTCATGGTCTTCATGGTACATACAAAGTTTCGTAATGGTACACCAATGCATTCGGAAAATATAGCATTTTATATCATAACTCTCTATTGTAGTCAATGGCAATTTCATGTTTTGTTCAATTATAGCGCCACCAAGAGGCACAATCCCACCAAATTTGTATGTGTCCTTAGAGTGTGCTCATACATGTGTCAAATTTGGTGAAATTATCTCATTTTGTTTTGGAGTTATAGACATTTTTATATATGAGAAGAGAAAAAATGACTGATGGCCAACTTTGTTTGCATTTTTTTGCCACTTACTATCAAAATTTTGGCAGTTGGGCATTATTGTTTATCCGGCACACTATGTTTTCGAATTTCCTACGGTGGTTTCATGTCGATCTGAGTAACGGTTTCTAAGATACTGGCAAATGTTTTTTTAAGCGCTAAAATGCAACGTTGCACAAACCATAAGGCAAAACCTGGCATGTTTGGTATTGCTGGACTAGGCAAGGATTCAGGAGTCTAAAAAGGTGACTCCCGTGAAAAGTCGACCACACCCAAAGTTATAAGCATGTGAATATTTGATTTTACCACTAGGTGGGGCTGGCTCGAAACTTCTCAGGCTCCTTCAGGGCATCGTACTGTTGACCCATACCAAGTTTCGTAACCATACGCGAATGCGTTCATAAAATACAGTATTTTAGTACAAATTTCAAAATGGCTGATGGCCAAAATGGCTGATATGGGACAATTGGATATCAATTAACTCGACATGTTGCCCTGAATCTACTGAGACCAATTTTATGATTTTTGGGCAAACCGGCCAGGAGTTATAAGCAAAAACAGACATTTTTTCTATCTCCGGACCACTAGGTGGCGCTGTGCCGAAACACAGCATGTAACCTCAGGTCATGCTTGTGATAACACACACCAAGTTTGGTCTGAATACACCAAACCGTTGCGGAGATATAGCCTCACATCCATTTTTACTTGCTCTTCGTCGAATTCGTTCGCACTTTATTCGAGAACGGTTTGACTAATCCACTTGAATTCCATAACTTTTTGCCAGCATGGTCTTAAGTAATCTGAGCCAATTTTGGTGAAAATCAGACAAACCATCTAGG